ACACAACGTAACGCATTTTTTAACACTCGCATATTACTTAGTAAAAGCATTTATATCTTGTATTATTACCTAGTTTTTTTTCAATGATGGATAGTCGCTAACAGTGGAATCTAGGAAGCGCTTATTGTAGTATCATGTGATATTTGTTTTTCGTATTCAATTGTGCTTAGAAATGAAGTAAACATAAGTTTTGTTGCAATGTGATATTCAAAGTTAACGTATATGAACTATGGTGGAAAAAAATTAGAAGAATAAAGAAATCTACTAACTTTTCAAATATCTTTTTTCTTATTGTATCGACTAGTCTGTCTTACATTTTACACCCCAAAGTACAAAACATTTCATCTTTCTCACACATTCAATCTACTTTTGAAGCTTGTATGAACTCCTCTTTCAGATCATTATTCATTTTGTGTACAGAGAGTTTTGTTGTTCATTTATAACTATTTTGATTATTTGGCAGTTGTAGCTTTCGTTATGCATCATATGATGACAATGAAACGAACATAATTTATTGTACTAGTCATGTAGTCAACAGGCTGTATAGATTCTGCGATCATGAGGATGAAATATATTATACGAAAGCTATCATAGCATTTTGTTACATGTGTTCCGAATCAGATGATTTCTTGTCCTTCAACATAATTTCTATTTGGTAAAACTGAAATGTCGACTTCTATACAAATCAGTACAATGTTAGTTTGCTAAATTGGTATTCATAAAATTTCTTGAATGTTACGATATGTGGTAGCATGAAAAATTTCTTTTTCCATGACTTGATAAACACGTCTTGAAGACTCAAATGAATAAAATGTATCTCCCAAACATTGAAACGCTTACGAGGGAGATATTAGGTTGATTATGTTCATTTTTACATAACGCAAAGGTTGCCTTATAACTATAACTGATTATGTCTCAGCTGACACGAATATTTTGATGAACACCGAGAGATCATCTACAGTATGTATGCTCGTTGGATGATTATCGTTTGATAAACCTATTTTGCCCTTTTAGCATATGTTTGCCAGATTCTCTTCGATCATCAAGCTGTTCAAAGGTAAACGGAGGAATAATAAAACCTTAGTTTATCAAATTGCATTATATGTAAGGAACGTTAAAAGGAATATTTCAGAATAACTCTAGCGATTGAAAATATGTCAAACTGAAGTATATTAGGTAGCGGCATATATCGTTGTTACACTGATTTTCTGAAAAGAGATTATGACATCGGTGAATGTAAAAGGTGTAATAAGTCACTTAATTCTCTCAATATCATTGTTCGGTAGATTGTTCTCGTTCTATCAATATAGTTCAATCATTCTTTGTACAATACTTTTCTAAATGTTAAATGATTTCGGTTTCAACACACTTGATTGGAGCTACAAGAAACGGTAAAATAAAGGGGGATTATGATTGCCGCAAGTAAGTGTTTTCTTTTGACAATAAATAAATAAAATGATATGTGTCTTGGTCATTTCAAATAGTAATAAATCCTTGATTGTCTATACTTCAGAATTTACAGTATCTAAGATTTCTCTTGGTAAACTTATTGACAAAACTTGAATAAACAGTAATAAACCTTTTGAATAGATTGATGTTTTTCGCATGTAGGCGGAGTAATAAAGCATGGATTATCCCATTGATTATTATACTGAAAATTGTTTTTACCTTAGGATCTGGAATCGTTAGTCAACCATGTATCATATGCGGAAAAAATGTATTCGTGACTGATCAACCAAGGTTTTGTGCAGTTACCAACAAAACGTGATCTTTATAGTAATTTTCGAGACGTGTGATTGAAGAAAACTGATGTTTTGAACAACATTGGTATCAATGAGTATCTGAGGACTCCGACAATGCTGTTGATCAGTCACAATGGATTTTCGATACGATTATAAGAAATTATGGGATTTATGTAGCATGTATTTATAATCTAGAATTCTGGATGAATATCCACACAGTTGTGCTGTCTGTGATGTGTTTAACTTTCTAGGTAGATGCTAGGATTATCTATTAAAAATGTGACCACTTTCATCAAAATTCGTTTGTGCTTTGTTAGCAGTCTTAGCATATTCTTACTGCAATTCAGTGGAGCCTAAGTGATTTTCGTTTAGAGTTGAGGAGGATGTGATGTTTGATTCGGTCTTGAATACTACTGAAAGTGTGCGGGTGATTGACACTTCTCGGCTTCCTACACCGTGGAAGGCTATTTATTTTTAAGTTGCCTAAAAAATAAAAAAAATAATGTGACCGCAGAGCCCAAGGTTCATCTGATTGAGGCCTGTCATACACAGCCTTGTACAGATTGTTTTGAGAGGCAGCATCAGCGTTGCACTGCTGGTCATTCAAGCGAAACATCCTACTGCTGTCAAAACCCATACAACTAGCAGCAGTACGACCTTACCCTCGGATCCCAATCATGGTGTAGTGATTTGCGCTACAACGGTAATTGCTTTTTTGTCTTAACGCTATCTAACAGACCTTTCTTGCATGTTAGGACCTCGAGGGAACAAATGTTACAGCCAGTGTAGCTCGTTGTGTCATTATGATATGCAAGCCCGACCACCACTTTAGGGTAGCAGCTGTCAGCCGAGTGTTTTTTGTTCATTGGAAACTGATGAGACGTTCTAACTGCGATGAAAAAGAGGGTTTCCATTTACATTTCAATAGATCAAGAATCCTTGGCATATACGATACAGGTTTTTGATATAAGTTACCATCCATAAAGGTGTATCAAAATGTAATAAGTGACACGTTAATTTATCATGAGAAGGGAGTCAATTTACAATGTGTGTCAGTATTTTACTATCCTTAGTTTATCCTTGATAAGTGTCATGCCATAGACATTTATAAGTGGGAAGCTTCAAAGTGATATAAATGCTCATTTCCTTTGGCTTCAAAATTTTACTTGGCTGTATAGAAGTCCATCACGAAAATCCTAAGGTGATGAGTCACGAAACTACTAAAATGATTCAAACAAAAGTTAGCATTTAATTATTCCAAACAGAATACCAGCAGCATGAATGAAAGTTTCGATCAACATGAAATGTTGCAAACTAGCTGTGACTCTACTTGATGAAGCTGATTAAATTGAAAGATCAAGTCATGCATATCATGGTGGGATAGTATCACACTTCTTAAATATTTTTGACATTGACTCACTAATGAAGTTTTTGTTTTACTTTTTACTGCAGTTCAGCAGATTGCTGATTACTTTATGCCTTGATGGTTTGAAGACTTTCTCGTATTCGTCTCTTGAATGCTTTATATGAGTGCATTCTAGCAGCCCAGTGGGTTTAGACAGGGCTACTCGATTTCCCCATCTTGCGTTAATTTTGCCAACGATAGCATTTCGTAGAAAGTGTGTATCTGCCAGTAACCGAGAAACTTTACCATTAAGTGGCAGGCGATGATGTCTGATTCTGCGGCATCAAACAAGTTACTCGAATCACATCTAATCATTTAGTGATCAGTGTTCATAAGAATGATATGGTATTTGCACTGTCAAATAGGTAGAATAAGCGGGAGTCTGTACCTGCATTCACCTTTTGTGGGAACCATTGAAAGTAACCGAAATGTTTCTGTATCTTGTTAGTTATGATAGTGCTGGTAGACGTGTGACCAATTAAACCTTCAATCGTGGATCGAAAGCCAGACTGGTATACGTTAACATTTTACATTTTTGTGGCTTTAAACCAGACACTAGATATGACTCGAAATCTATCTCAGTAGCAATTATGCTGCATCATTTTTTTGTTTGTTTTCGTTTGTTATCAAAAAGTAGGAAGAAACGAATGAAAGCCTTTTGAGTGCATTCTCTCTAGACTACGTTCCTTCCGTTGAATTCGGGGGTTTGTGGGGATTTAGAGATATTTCAAGTTGGTATTCATCGTAGACTGACATCAGTTTAAGGAACAATGGCTCAGTGGTTACGTGTTGGCCATGGAACCTGAAGGTCGTGAGTTTGACCCCTGGCGGGGTCGTGGATGGGAAGTCCCATACCAGGACAAAACAGCTATCCAGTGCTCCCAGGTTTCCCCTGTCCCTCCAAATAATGTCAGTCTACGATGAATACCAACTTGAAATATTTTCCTTCCTCCCATTTAAATCACTTCCGTGTTTTTTTTCGCCATGCTGATACATTGTTTTCTGTGACGCAATACTTCATACTCACGCTGTACGCAGTTTGTGCCTTACATAAATGATAACGAATAATTTGGACTAAAAGTAGATATGATTTGATGTGAATACAGTTTTCTCTGCAACACTAATTACCCAAATAACCTTATAGTATAGACAAATAGACAGGAAAAATCCACGTAGAACATACCACACGAGTGCATCGGTTCAAGTTGCCACACTTCATAGTAGTAAACAAAGAACAATTGGACTCTTGGTGACGTACTTGAAAATCAGTGATAGTGATGCAGATGTATTCACTCCTTGACGTCTTCAGAAGCTTGATTATTTACACTAACCGTTATCTTCAAATTGTTTATCCTCTCACATAACTTTGTCTACCTTAATATCACTTTCTATCTGTCCAATTGTTCTTTTTTTACTACTATGAAGTGTGGCAACTTGAACCGACTCACTTGTGTGGTATGTTCTACGTGGATTTTTTCTGTCAGTCTTCTCTTTCCACTTTTTGGATTCCGTTAAAGCATCTATGTAACTATAATTTGTTATGCAGAAGAAAATTTATTTTTGCTTGGAGCGCTTTAGCCTTAAGTTGTTTCAATTTAAGTTATGCTATTGACCTAATTGTTTAGATTAGGACCAAATTTGATTAGCCTAAAACTTTTTAGCATATTTAGCGATGGTATGAGTGAAAGTGACATTTGCAGCCTAAATTTTATCATTGATAATCCATAATCTATTTGCCTACTAATTTTATCATGTATCCTGTAGTCTAATGAGTATTGTTTTGTTCATTCTGGACTCAGTTAGATCAATCCCGTTTTAATTTTTCTCCCTCCTTTATCGAAAAAAACGTATAGTCAGTTAAATTATGATAAGGTTCAATCTATTAATGAACGTACACAGAATATCGTGGAACAATGGGACAATTTGGGACGGTTATCAGAAATTCGTAAACATAAAATTCATGTAAGTGGCAAGTAATTTTTTAATTCTTCATCATTTTTTTTCTATGTTTCATGAATTGTTTATGAAACATTTTTGACTAATTAGAAAATATTGGCTTGATTTGGCGATTTCCTGTAGAAAAAGTCTTCAGGTCACAGTTAGGTGGTGTAAAATAGCTCTATTTCAAGGTGTGCGAAAATCTGGTCGCGACTGAGCTGCTTTCACTACGTACATAGTACTCTGAGTTTCATTCCTCCTCATCATGCCTAAGCAATAATAAAATTCTCTTTATCACTCAGTAGTCATAATGTTTCTATTTCAAGCCTGGAATGCGTAGTGTCGATTATATTTTTATTTTACAGTAGACCTTATTAATCTTTGTATATAGTATACAAACAAATGAACTTTGTTAAAGTTAATTTATTTCAAAATACAGCTGAATGTGTTTTTTAGGCAACATTATATTGGAAATGAAAACATGGAGTTCATTTGAAAATAAAGTATATCTTTGCCAATTATGTTTAACCAATATCTTGTAAATTAATCCTAACCCTGCAGTTTATTTCTATGGAACGTTAGTTTAATCGTCTTTAAAATTACCCCTTTTTCAGATCTACTGTCTGCCTTCAGTTTAATATTCAATAGATGCCTTTTTGTTTTGTTCAGAAGGTTATCCTGGAATTGGTTTGAATGTACTGCTTTGTTAAGGCAAAAGTCATAAGAAATGAGACTCTCACAGTTACATGGAGGGTGTTCACCGTATGAGTGAAACACGGACACTGTAGTAGGTTGTAATTACACTTCAACTTTTTTATTAGATTCACCCTGCAGCGAAACAGTATTATTAACTTGATAACCTTTATGATACAATTTATTGTCTATGGTTGTATCACGATAACTCTATAGTTTTGAGATATGGTTTCTAAAGTTCTAATAGACCCTCCTTCTTGTTACATAGGTAGTAGGATTTTCCATGTATCTGGAACAGTTGTTGAACCATTTCCACTCAACGTGTTTGGTATTGCTTTGATACACAAAGATTCTATCATGAATCTCTCCCTCCAACAACTAAGCCTTTAATCCTGTCACTTTATCGCCTTTCTCTAGATTCTTCATCTTATCAGAGACCATCTTTATCAAAAAGGAGGAGAGGTCATTAGAACTCTATAAGGCATGTCTCAGTGTTGTGGAGTTACCCTGAATCGACTATAAACAATATGTTGTATCCGAAACGTCATTCACTTAAATGTCCTGTTTCACTCTGTCATACCATTTGATCAACAAAGTAAAGTGGAAGCCATTACACGATAATTGTATTTAATCTCGGTCAAATAGGATCGAAAAATCTCATACCTCGACTAAATAACTAGTACACTGCTTACTAGACGGTCCTAAGACCGGATAAAGAGGGAAGGTTGGGCATACGGCTAGCAACCCTACCCCGTAAAACTAATCTAACCAACAAAGAAACTCAAAAGCACAAAGAAAATACAAAACATAAAAACAAACCCATTCCTAGCTGGAATCGCAGAGGCGAAAGGTTGCCAGTTGGTGGAAGCCTTAGGGAAGCCAATTGGCCGATGTGTCTTCTCTTGATGAAAGTGATGGCAAGAATGGGGACATGGAATGTCCACACAATTTTTGAGCCTACCAAGGCTGCCCAGATTGTCAAAGAGATGTGAATGTATAGGATAGATGTGCTATGAATCTGCGAGAGCAGATGGAACGGAAGTGGACTTCCAAACTGTTAACTGGAGAGGAGTCGATAATCTACTCCGATATTGTCACCCAGACGACAATCACAACCACACTGAGTTTTTGAGTGGTTATCATGGTGTCCCCAAGAGCATCAAACGTTCTCATACACTGGGAACCAATCTCCTCTATCATCAGGATCATGATAGCAAGATTCAACTCAAAAGGAAGGAAAGTCACAATCATACAATGCAACGCGCCTACAAATAATGCAGATCAAGATAAGAAAGAGGAATTCTTCAGACAACTGCGATCAGTACTATACAAGACCCCACACCAGTTGGCGACATCAAAATTCTAATGAGTTGGGTAACATGAATGCCAAACTGGGAGCGGACAACACAGGAAGAGAACTCATCATGGGTCAAGAAGCACTCGGTGAAATGAATGAGAACGGAGAACTGTTTGCAGATTTCTGCGCATTCGACGATTTGGTGATTGGAGGCAGTGTGTACAAACACAAGGATACTCACAAAGCGACATGGACTTCGCCAGTTTGACACACTAAAAATCAGGTCGACTTCATCTAAATCTCAAGAAGTCGGAGACGCAGTCTACTGGATACAAGATCAAGAAGAGGAGCAGATGTAGGTTCAGACCACTATCTAGTGCAAGGAACCTACCTTCAAAATCAAGTTGAAAGCCTTCAAACAAGTTGGTGACAGACCACAGTTCAAGTTCAACACCCAGAACAGAAACTAAAGGACGAAACTACAAAGGAAATCTTCATGTGGTCAGTCATCAGGACAAAATGGGAGACATTGAGCAACATCTACGAGGAAACCTGGGTGGAAGAACACTGGAACTATTTGAAAGGGTTGTGGAAAGAAACCTGCATAAGTGTATTTGGAAGGAAGGAGAAAGAAGACAAGGAATGGATCTCCATGGACACGGAAGCTGATAGAGAGAAAGATAGTGAAGCAGAAAATAAGCCAGTGCAAGGATGAACAACGAAAAGAGGAACTGAACACAACCTATAAAACACTGGACAAAAAAGTGAAGAAGAGTGCCTGCAAAGAGAAAAGACACTTCTACGACACACATTGGGAAGTGAAGCAGAACAGGCTGCTGGTAGGAGAGACCTGACAACATTATATCGAATAACCAGGTCATCATCCGGGAAGAGATCAACGCATACGAAACCAATGGAAGATAGTGAAGGTAACCTAGTTAGCAAAGAGGAGAAACAAAGGAAACGATGGGCTGACCACTTCAAAAAGCTCTTAAATCGACCACCACAACCACCTGCAACTCGTCCAGAAATACCACTGGCAGCCTAGCCACAAAATTACCAGTGAACCCAGGTCCTCCGACAGAAGCCGAAGTCTTAAAAGACATAAAGTTGCTGAAATTCGGGAAAGCAGCAGGACCAGATGGAATCCCACCAAAAGCACTGAAAACAGACACATAGACATTAGCGGACATACTCACACCACTACTACAGAAGGTTTGGAAGGAAGGAGAGATACCTACCCATTGATCGGAAGAAGGGCTACCTTGTCAAACTCCCAAAGAAAGGAGACTTAAGTCTTTGCAAGAACTGACGCGGAATCATGCTGCTGTCCACCCTAAGCAAAATATTAAGCCGTATCGTCCTGAAGAGACTAAAAGATGCGCTGGATTCAAAATTACAATCTGGCTAGACTGGATTCAGGAAGTACAAATCATGTGCGGACCAAATTGCAACGCTACGCCACGTATCATCATCGAACAGAGTATAGAATGGCAATCAACTCTCTGCCTCAACTTCATCGATTTCGAAAAGGCCTTCAACGGCGTCGACCGAGAAGTAATTTGGCAGTTGGTTCAACACTACGGAATACCACAAACCTTTATCGACCTCATTCAACAACTATATGAAGACGACACATGCCAGATGATTCACAGTGGAAAACTCAGTGACGACTTTGAAGTGGAGACGGGAGTAAGACAAGATTGCCTACTATCACAGATCATCTTCCTGATTGTGGACGACTGGATCATGCAACAAACTGTGAGGAGCGAGAAGAGGGGTATACGCCGGCTGGACCGATGAAAAGACCCTAGAAGACTTGCACTTCCCCGATGATGATTTATGTTTAATGTCTTGCAGCACAAACTCGAAGATCTACAGGCAAGAACCAACAAGTTGACAGAAGAGGCAGGGCAGCGAAGACGGAACTTCAAGTGAGCGTAGAGAAGACACAGGTGATGAAGATCCCCAACCAACGACAACAACAAGTGCCAATCACCATCAACGGGAGAAATTTTAAAGGAAATAGTCTCTTTCACCTACCTACCTACCTACCTACCTACCTACCTACCTACCTACCTACCTACCTACCTACCTACCTACCTACCTACCTACCTACCTACCTACCTACCTACCTACCTACCTACCTACCTACCTACCTACCTACCTACCTACCTACCTACCTACCTACCTACCTACCTACCTACCTACCTACCTACCTACCTACCTACCTACCTACCTACCTACCTACCTACCTACCTACCTACCTACCTACCTACCTACCTACCTACCTACCTACCTACCTACCTACCTACCTACCTACCTACCTACCTACCTACCTACCTACCTACCTACCTACCTACCTACCTACCTACCTACCTATCTAGGCAGCATTGTTTCAACCACAGGTGGCACAGACGAGGACGTCAAGGCCAGGATCTGGAAAGCAAGAGTGGCCTTCATCAATCTGAAACCAGTGTGGAGATCTACTGCACTCACCATAAAGCGTCAACAAGGTTCGGATTTTCAACACTAATGTCAAGTCGGTGCTTCAATATGGTTCATAAACTTGGCACGTTATGAGAAGCATTTCCAACAAACTACAGACATTCATCAACAGCTGCCGCCTACGCTCACTCGATAATGAAGATCAGATCAGATGGCCAGGAAGAATAAGCAACAAGGAACTCTGGCAACGAAGCAACCAAGAAGCTATCGCCCAACAAATATGCAGAAGAAAGTGGATGTGGATTGGATTGGGCATATACTGAGAAAACCATTTGGAGAGATCACGTGCCAGGCCGTCGAGTGGAATACAAAGGGGAAACGACGAGTTGGGCGTCCGACGGTGACTTGGACGAGATGGTGTGAGGAGGAAATGAAAGCTTCTGGACAGTCGTGGAGCCATGTTCAAAAGACTGCAGAGAATAGAGTGAGATGGAGGCGTGCTACTGAAGCCTTATGTTCCACTAGGAACCCTAGAGACAAGTACTAATAAAAAATGGGGTCGAGAAATCTCATACCTTCTGGTTTG